ATAAGAATTTAAAACATACTTTTTAGTCCCTCAAACTGAGACTAACAATCTGAATTAGAATTTTTTTCAACCGTGAGTTGATATGTGATAATACTTCGATTATATTTCATCTCTTTGATTTCTTTCCTCATCCAATTGATGCCTAACACTCTCAAATCTTCATATCTTCATTTTTTCTTCTGAGTCATCTTTTGGATATTTGCAATTGGGTCCTTGAGCTTTTGTTTTCTTCTACTTTGACTCTTTTTCTCTTATTTCTTCCCAATTTCGCCATATCCATTAAATTACCACATAAATCAAAATATAAAGATAATAAGTGTATTTTGGTATCAAATTATCAAACGAGATAACAAATAAGAGGGAAAAAAAAATGACATTTTACATTCTTATTAGCACCACAATGGTGATAGGTGGGAATAAACCTAGGTTCAAATCTACTCGGAGGTTATTGCTGATTTACAAGACGTTTGATCTTACGTTGTCTAGTAGGCCTCGATCCTAAAACATTTTTGCCCTTGGGTTAAGGATTAGCAGCATTTCTAATTTTGTTGGTGGTTGGGATGAACGTGGTTTTGGAAGTACTAGCAGTAGTATTACCATTTTTAACGTATCCTAGACCGTGCCTATTTCCAGCAAACATGTTCATCCCTAACAGATTATTGAGTTTCTGAATAACGCTCATGAAGGAATGAAGTTGAGTATTAGATTTTTCTGGATTACTTGTTAAAGATTTAACTTTAGTTTCTAGATTCTCATTAACAAGTTTCAACTCATTCACATTTTTGGTAGAATCCTGAAGGTCACCTAAGAGTTTCTTTCCCTCTCACTTTCAAGTTCATTAACCTTTTTTAGTACGGTTTTATTGACCTTCTTGATTTTAAGACTCTACTTAAATAGCTATCGATCAAAGTCATGAGTATCGGTCTCATCCTCAGAGTTATCCTTGGAATTCACACTTTGTTCATCATTGTCCACCGTTTCACTCTCCTTATCAGATTCAATCTTAGCTATAGACGAGAAAGCAATAAAATTTTGTTCATCCTCACCGTCAGAGGTATCACTCTAAACACTAGAAACTAATTAATCAGCACTCAAAGTCATTGCTAATACTTTACTCCTTCCTTTATTTAAATTCTTTTTCAAATTAGGACATTCATTCCTATAGTGACCAAAACCCTAACATTCATGGCATCTATCTGAATGTGTTTTCTTACTAGAAGTCCTAGGGTTGTTCTTCTCACACTTATCTTTCGATAATTTACTAGAGATATCATTTTTCATATTGTGAGGTTTATCCTATTCTTCATCGCCTTTTGGAATTTCTTAATGAAATAAGCTATTTTGTCGTCTCAAGGGTCTCAGTCTCAATAGATTCATTCTCTTCTTCCCTAATGGTGTTCATGTCTATGAAACCTTCTTTGGTTGAGAAATGGTGAGTTCATAGGTTTGGAGAGATCCTACAAGTTCCTCTATCTTAACTTTATCTAAGTCCTTACTCTCTTCAATGGTGGTGATCTTAGGTCTAAACCTTTCAGGTAGGGATCTAAAGACTTTTTGAACTATCTTAGACTCAAGGATCTTCTCACATAAGTTGAAACTCGACTTTACTATATCATTAAGATTCACATAGAATTCATCATACGATTCATCGTCCTTCATCAAACCTAGAGGTTAACATTTGCAGTTTTGAGTTATTAATAGTTTGGTACCCTCATATGTGGTCTTTAAGATATCCCAAACCTATTTAGCTGTTTCACACATCGACACTCTCCTAAACTCCTCTGCAGACACAACTATAAATAGAGCATGGAGCCCTTTACTATTCCAGTTGCAATCAACTGCTTGATCTTTTGTCCAAAGAGAAATGTCAGTAGGTGTAACAACACTAGCAATAGTGGATGAAGGTGTAGTCCAACCGTTTTGTACAATGATCCAAATACACTCATCCATTACTTTAATGCATGCTCTCATTTGAACTTTTCAGTAAGCATAATTGATTCCGTAAAAAAAATAGAGGCACAGATAGAGACTGACTCATCCATATTAATTTATGGGTCAACCCAAAATATACATAGAGGGGGGTGATTAGGTAATTATGCAGAATCAAAAACTAATAATTAACTAGCAACAAGTCACTATTAATTATCTCTAGATGGTTAATCAATCAAGTCAATTTTCCTAAGTTGAATTGCCGCACTTATATGAAAGCAATAAATAAACAATCAGAATGATTACGGAGAAACTCCAACTGAGTAAAAACTCCGAGCACTTTGCCGTCAACAATCTACTATAAACGAATTATGAACTTACAGTCCGCCAGACACGACTACCACTAGAATTTTATGACCTCCTGACTGTAATTCTCACAGCTCTCCAGAATTGCGTGCTCATGCACCAACTCCCTTCAAAGCCCTCCTGGATTGCGTATTTCTGCACCACTCCTGATTTTATGAATTCGTCTATCTCCTATGGATCAACGAAGAACTCTGCGTTTTCCAACAAATAGAACTCCAGTCACCTTCCCCTGATCTTCAAAACTCCAACAGATGTGTAGGAAGTAGCAGTTAGGTATTTGGATTATGGATTTGATATTTTCAACGCCACGATCAAATTAAAACATGAAGGTTGAAATCTTGTTTTATGAACATATTTGAAGCAGTATGTATTTTCTCAATGATCAACATTCGAAAACTGTTCAGAGGCTTGTTGGTATTTATAGTTTATGTTTATGATTGAAGGAACCGGATAAAAAAGTCTTAAAAATGCGAATCAAAATTTTTGGGGAAACTACGTTGCTCGCTCGAGCGAAAGCTGAGCGACGAGCGACAGAGTGTCGCTTGAGCGAAGGCAAGGCCACAGGCGGGCGACAATGCTTCTGTTTTTGCCGCTCGAGTAGAATCATGGCGACAGTCTAGCGAAATTGTTGCGCCGTTTTTTCCTTATTTCTATTCTTGAACCTTAGACCTAATACAACTCAATTAGCAGTATTTGCAACTTACTCATTGACTTTTACAACACATTAATTTTAGTCATTTTTCACATATTTGCCAATTACATTAAAATCCAACAAAAACCAATGTTGAAATTAATTTATTATTTATGCTCATATTTTAAACCATTAAAGCCCAAATACTGAAAAAATCCAAGCAATGACCCATCCCCTATTTATAACTTTTTCATTTTTTTTTATGGAAAACAATGTATGCTTATGACTTTTTGAAAAGTAAAAAAAAACTTCCTACAAACAATGGACGGTTTACAGATGGATATATTTATTTGATTTATGTTTTGAATTTGATGATTTTTTTATTCTAAATTTTTTTATTTTCTAATTTCTTTATTTTAATGACAAATAATATATCATAAAAATATTTAACCCACTTAACTATTTATAACAAATTGGTTTAGGTTGGGTTGGGTTGTTATCAGGTCGGATTAACCTATATTCGCATTTGCTCTATTTAGTTAATGAATTATTGAATTTGGATTTTAATCGGATTATCGAACTTAGACTCTAAATTCATTTTCCATTTATTTAATTGGATTCAGAACAAGAATCAATCAATTGACAACCCTAACTCTGAGCAACCAACCCCGTCAATTAACTGATCCAATCCACCGAGACATTTTTTTTATTTTTCTTTTGTTTTGAAATTAATATTTTTAAACTTCAAAAATAAAATAATAAAACCACAAACATAATTTTTTCTCAAATAGTTTGCCTACCATCTACACCACTTCTACTAAGGCCTTGTTTGAGACACATTAATTTTTTCATTCTCATTCTTTTACTCATTCTCAACCATATATTTCAATAAAATAATATTTTCTATCACATCAATAATTTTTCCTTCTTTTTCAACCACATATTCTTTATCACATCAACAGTAAAAATGTATTATTTTTCCAAAAATATGCACCAAATGAGAGCTAAAACGTCAAATTCTAAATTCAAATCGTAGCTTCAATTTGTTGGTAAATCATCGAATTTCGGGTTGGAATCAAAGTAAACCCATCCGGAACAATCCGCAGGCCTAATAATTTCAGTTATAGCATTCCGATTAAAAAGTCTGAATTTATTAATAGTGATTAATTATTTTTCAAAAGGATGTTTCAGGCAACGGCATCCACTCGCAAAATCTCCTTTGCAGCTCTGCTAAATTAAGCCTCCCGCTAACATAAGCCCCCAGTGCGCATTAACCCCCACCATGCCTGGCGCCCTCAAACTCACTAATTTAACTTCCCTTTATGCCCACAAATCCAAATTCCCCCATGAATGCAACAACCGCCGTCGCAGATTCCTCGACAACCTCTCCTCCACCGCTGCCCACAATCCCACTGAGACATTTATCCGGTCCAAGCATTCCGCCGTGTGGTGGTGGAGGATAACTCCCTCCGTACCCTCCGCGCATCGTAAAATCAGCCCCTTCCGCCACCAATTCGTCGGAGCATTCGGTGGCCGCAAAAACTACTTTTATACCTCCGAATCGGAAAATAAAGATCAAAATAGGAATTTGATCGGAAATTATAAAAATAATAAAAATAACAATCTCGTGGCTCCCATGGGTGCTACTCTTGAACCGACGCCTCCTCCAACGTCTAAATTGCTCACCTTGCCTACAATCTTGACCCTTTGCCGGGTTGCAGCGGTCCCGCTCCTCGTAAGCAGTATGTTCTTTTTCTTTTTATTGGTGTAATAATAGGAGTATTGTTTAAGATTAAATGATTGACGTAAATAAATCTTGTTTGGTTTGATCTCGAAGCTTTGTTTGTATATTTGCTAAGCTAATGTACAATTCAGAATTATATTTTCTAGTTATGTTGAAATTCAGGAATTCATATTGAACTTGTGATTTAATTTAAAGATGTTTAAAAAAAAAAATTATTTAGAGTTGGTAACGTGTGAAAGATTTGGGGATTCTTTGGCTTTATGTGTTTAAGCATCTATTGTGATTGAATTGATGCTCAATCAAATCTACCCGGATTTGCTTGACTTGATGTTGAAGTTCATCTCAAAACACAACATTAACATGCTACTTTTGTTTTTACTAGCTTTTTATGTTGATAGCTGGTGGGGACCGACTGTGACTACTGCGATATTTGTTTCTGCGGCAATTACGGATTGGCTTGATGGGTATCTTGCTAGAAAGGTGCCATCCATTGACATTCAAATTGCAAAGAAATATCTTCTGTGATGCTTCTTTTCCTTTATTTTCCATCTTACATGTTGTATGTGTTCTAGATGAAACAAGGAACTCCATTTGGTGCATTTTTGGATCCAGTGGCTGATAAGGTAACATTATTCTTCTTCTAAGCAATATTATGCATGTAACTTGGCAGTATTAGCTGATGCTCTGGTCCATTGTAAATTAAGAGATTATTGTATTTGTAATTTGAATGGATGCAGCTTATGGTTGCTGCCACCCTGGTCTTGCTATGTACCAAACCTTTGGAAGCCAGAATATTTGGACAAGCACCATGGTTACTGACTGTGCCTGCAATTGCCGTAATCGGTAGAGAGGTGAGTATCTTCATTATGTCTTTCTTATAGATCATAAATAAGCTAGGCACTTGTGTTGAGAATTATATAACCTAATTCTGTTCCACCGAGAGGAATCAATTCGAAGAAAGAAAAATAAACAATCAAGAATGTGTAAGATTTATAGAGGTTTGCCTTAATGTGAGATTACATCCTCCCCTACCGTTGTAGTAATTCACTATGATGAGAAAAATGTTTATAGATGAAAAAAAATGTTTATAAGAGAAAATCGCACTCTTATCTTCTCTAGCATTTCTCCCCTTCTTTTTTTTCTTTTTATTGATGATAATAACACCTATGAACGGCTCCCTATTTATAAAATAAATTATGTCAAAGCTGAATTTTACAAGGATTTTAATTCCTTAAGAGAATTTTACAAGAATACATATTTCTAAACCGTCCTTAATGAAATTTTGGTCTGGGGGGCTTCGCCCACACATCTAAACATCTAATTGGGGAATGGGGCAACGCCCATGAAGCTTCGGCGGAGAGGGAAGGCCTATCGGCCGTACGCCCATGGGTGCAAGATTCTTCACTGAGAGTCATCAAAGGAGGAATGTGCATACGCTGGTTCGATAAGCCAAGGAAAAACAACCTCAGCTTGGGGAGCTAGACAGTGCTGAATCGGAAGAGATTGCTCAGGATGAGTATTTGGTTAACAAAGCCGAGGAGGGTGTAGTCAAAAGAGATAACTCCCGAGGAGAATGATTTGACCCATAGAAACGAGGATCTGGAACAGACGGTTGATATTGGGTCAACTATGGCAATGACTTCCGCTCGCTGCTTTTCATTTTGATAGGAGTGGGTGCTTGCTGTATGCTCGCGATCTGCTAAATGAGCCTCCACAGCGACCTCACTGCTGAGGTTGATCTGCGAGCAACTCCACGAAGTGGCAATAATTAGTATCGACAATAATTAGGCTTCACAACTTAACAACTCCAGTGTTAAGTACTCATTTCAGGAACCTATGACCAATTCCATGCTAGTATTCTCACTCGGTAGAGAATTTTTTGGATGGAACTATATCAATTAGACAAAATTATCTGTGCATATCCATATAGTACGCATGGTCAATGGTCGGCATAAGTTAAAATTTGTGAAGCTATGGTGTCCTAGATTCCTTTCAGATTTGGTTGGTGTCCTAGATTCTTTTCAGATTTGGTTTTTAGGCATCATCTACTAATATATCACTTTACAAATAAAAATGTGGCTTATCTTGAAATTAGAAGCGACCTGAACTCCTGCAATCATCATGCCGTTTTAATCTTCTTTCAAGCAACATAGACAAATTGAAAGCACATTTCTGGATCAGCAGAAATTCTGTGAAGTACAATTGTCAAGTACTTCCAATATTATCGTTGATAAATCCCTGTAACAATTCATTTCTTTTCTTTATGAGAATACATGTCTACAGCAGTAAGATATATAATACAAATCCCTGTTACCCAGATTGGTTGAGAAGGTTTAGATCTATGTAATTGTAATATCATTTGTTTAACTTACAGCGATCTTCGTCTTAGCATTTTGTAGTTTGATTCATGCAACGAAGATTATATATGTAACCAATATCTCCCTTTAGGACAAAAAAATGATTATCCATCTATTTTTGTTAATGTTAAAAAATGGAATCATAGTAAGCTTGTTCTTCCTTAATTATTTGATCATTATACATTCTTGGTGCAACTGTAATCTTACTCTTTGAATTATTTCTGTGTTTGGGTGCTGATTAGTCTTGGTGGCCTTATTTATGACTTTTCTTTTAGGTTTCCTCTTGCCCCCGATTTAATTAAGGTTTTGAATAGGTAGATTTGAAATCCTGGGGATGCCATTTCTGCATGAATAAATATATGCGTAAATCTATCTTGTCATTTTTAGTTTGAAATACAATGTTGGAATATTTAGTGGATTTCTCCTATTAACCTGTTGATCTACCTTAGTATTCACTGGCATGCAATTTTGTGATCTCTTTCAAAATGTTTTTCTATTTTGTTGTCGCATATTTTGGCGTAATTGGTTTGACCTGCCTTCTACTAACTGAACTGCCTTTACATCTAGATAACCATGTCTGCAGTCAGGGAATGGGCTGCTTCTCAGGACAAAAAGCTTTTAGAGGTTTAGATGCCTACCTCCCTAATTATAATACAATTATAGTTGTTAAAGGGGCAATTCCTACTTGTTGTTTGCTAATTCAATGAAGTTTTTATATTTTTTCAGGCTGTTGCAGTAAATAATTTGGGGAAGTGGAAAACAGCCACTCAGATGACTGCATTAACCATCATTCTAGCTGCCAGAGATAGCAGGTTTATTTTTCTTTGTTTTTACGAAATTTTATTGCTGATAAGTTTGATGGAATGCAAGTTGAATTTAGAAGTTTTGTTAGATTCATCCTCTGATTCATGTGACTGTTCTGTCCTCTCTCTTTTCTCAACGTGTCTGTGCAGTCTTGTAGGGACGGGATCTCTTGTAGCTTTTGGGGTCATTTTACTATATATTTCAGCATGGCTCGCTGTATGGTCATTGTTCATATATATGAGAAAGATATGGAAAGTATTGCTGAGATAGCCATCTCGACCTTCATCTGTATCCTTACCACTTGAAGTTAAGAAATTGTCCATGGAGCGCATTTTTGCTGGTCAAACAGAATTTCTTCATCGAGATTGCTGCTTTCACGGATCATCTGCGGTGTCTTCTGTTACGTACCACCGAAAGATATCATAAACTGTCAATATATTGGGCTATTTTCTTCAGCAACTAAATCGGCCTAACGAGATTGGTGATTCTTAACAGCAGTTGGTAGCTTGTCGGATCTAATTTCACATTAGTTTGATTATTCAGCTGAACTTTTATTTTACAATCAATGCTATATATACTAGTTATTGATCTTGGAAAATGTAAAAACAAAAGCTGAATGCACCCTACAATTATTTTATAAATTACTGAGGTCAAGATTTCATATTGTGGCTTCTTGTGAATTTATTCTTGAAAAAATGGAATATATCTTCAACGGAATTTTACTTGCAAACGAAGTCCAGCATTGAGTTTTATTCTGTTTTCTTGCTCTATCGAATGACAGCATGATTTTTTTGTGCCTGCATTATGTTGTATTGGAAAGTGGTGTCACCCCGTACTAGAGCCCGAGATTATTCTATGAACAGGACGTTGTCCAATCTACCTTACCGAATGTGATTTTTTAATGTTCCCAATCTGCATGTACGCTTATCTTCTCAAGAATTATAATGTTCAATCCTGATGATCTTATTTTAAACTTACAAGACATTGGTACGTGGTACTCGACATCAAAGTACCAAAAAAAAAAGAGAAAAATATTTCTCCTTTCTTTTAGTGTATAGTTATCTCCATGCCAAAACTTGAGTAGAGCTTAATGCCAGCCAGATTTTCAGGAAGTTCCTGTCAGTTAATGTGCCATCCGATATGATTCTTGCAGAACTAGGAACGTTTGAGTGCCATTTCGCATAATTTTTATATATCATAAAGCCCCAATAAATTGGTAGAAACCAAAAACAGGAAAATAAGAATAACCGGGCTGAATGTATACTTCTTTATCTGGACAAAACATTTAAAGAATCCGGAACAGCAAAATTTTGATTATTCAAACTTCATCGAGTAATGTAATAAATCTGCGTCACTCAGTTTCTCATCAATTCCCTTGGTTCATATGCCAATCAGCTGAAAATTTCAACAGGGTGTTCCCCATCAATCTTCCTGGCTGGCTTAATCATTAACATTACGGAGTGGAGGTGAGATCCCAAACGCAAAAGTGACTATACATTTTTCTATTTTCTTCAGTGAGACTGTCAAACAAAAATAAACCAATTGAAATTATGGCAGGCAACGCGATGGCCTGCTGTACTAGGTATTGGCATCTCCAGGAATACCTCCTTTTATCGAAAGGATTGGTCCACGTAAGGAACTGTGCCTAATCAAATCAGAGTCCAAAAACATAACTATTACGGTGATGTCATCGTGAAAATGTCTTCTCACTCCCCGGTCAATCTTTTTCAGGTCAGAATATCTCATTTCTCTTTTCTTTGCTGCTTCTTTCAGTGCAGCTTTGACAAGCTTCCTCGCAATGCCCTGGTAAATATTTAAAGAATTCAAGAAAACAATTTTAGATATAATGAGCAACAATGAGGATAAAATTAAGAGCGATGAGTTAAGTAGTTGGGATGTATTTTGTGCAGACCTAAAGAGGCTGTTATTTAGATGGGTGAAGTAATCTTAGTAGAACAGGTTAGAAGGAGAGGTAGATTAAAACTAACACAACATCTTGTGGTTGTTACGGATCTACTTCTTTTGGATCTTTCGGACTGGCGAAAAAGAATTCTTGTAGCTGTTATCAAATTTATTGAGAATAAGGTTTGGCTGTCATGGATACGATCCTGTAATAGTCTACACCTCTATATTGATTTGATGTTTCTAGTTCATGCAATCAGCTACCAGTCTAGTCTTGACAAATTTTTGGATGGTGGAAGAACAAGTACTCAACTACTTGAGTACAACCACAATCTTTCATGTCTTGTATGCATTTAGCCCATGAATAATAACATGGTCAATAACCAGGAAGTTCAAACATAGTATAGGTATCTTACATTGCGTGGACACGAGTTGACAATGTTGACTGCCTCTTGATTACTAAGATGCTCCCATAGGCCATCTGAAGCAAAAATAAGAAACTGATCTTCTGGATGGAGTTTCTGGACAAGTATTGAGGGCTCAGCTACAAGGATCGGTTTCTCGAATGGCTCTGTCAGTCTGAACTTCGGCAACAAAGGCTCTCTATTGAACTCTGTTTTCTTTAGGTAAGCATCACCAATTGATCTTGACACCTGAGAACAGTAAGCCTACGTGAGTGATTGTCATGAAATGGAAATTACTGCACAATGTTCAATTGGCATAGAGTCAAAAGAGATGAAGTTTCAATATTTCTTGTTAACTAAACGCAACAATCTAAAGAACTGATATGATGAAGAATCAGATCAGAACTCACAATGTCAACCACTTATAAACCACTTATAAAGGTTGATAGCTTTAAAATACATCAATTTTGGATGCACAAAGAGTAGCAATAGTTTCTCATATATCATCTGTCAAAAGTTTTAGTTGATGTGCTAAACAAACTTTTTGACTATTCCAAACATTTTTGTAATCTGAAAAATTATTATGGGTTCTGTAAAAAGGATAAACAAAAAAAAATAATGTAAACTTAAGGCAGTAAATCAATGAAAATAAAAATAGCAGCACATGTGCAGAAGGAGTCATGGGAGAGGGGAAGGTCAGGCAGCCATGCTGGAAAGATGGTTTACTCAATGTGAACTATGCATACAATTCAGTAAATCTTCCAGTAAATCCAAAAGAGTTCTTAAATTTTAACATAGAGCTAATAATAGTTAATTACAAGACCCTTTTTGTCTTTCCTCTTCAGTAATTACTAAGTAGTCAAGTACAATCTAATGAAACTGGAGTTTAAGATTAATCAAAAAGAACACATTCTTGGTCTCAGCATCCCACAATACTCAACTGAGTACACCAACCATCAAGTACCAATGATACGGACATCTATCAAGAATTATTTTTCTATTGTGGATTTTTTTTATTTTTTATGTTCTCTATTATTGGGTTGGCCCAAACCCGATATGGTTTTTGTATTGTAATTGAGACTGCTGATGAATGAAATAAATAATTTGTGGTTGTCGCCAAAGTTTCCTCCTTTTTCCCTATTCTTCTTCTCCTTCTTTTGCTATTCCAGCCTCTAATTCATTTTCTCTATAGATTTGTTCCTAATTCTCCATTAATTGTTTTAATTGGTACTGCATGAGATAAGTCGTCTTATATTCCTTTTGTCGGTTATGAGCGTCAAGGTCATAGGTTTTGAAACACTTAAGGAGGAGTAAGAGACATGTCCCAATTTTGAGGANAGGAGGTTTAGCCGGTCACTTTGGGCGAGATAAGACCATAGCGGAGATTGAACGTCAATTCTATTGGCCGAATTTAAAGAAAGATGTGGCTAAGATAGTACATGTAACACCTGTCACTTGGCCAAACAAAAGAGGCAAAACATTGGTCTATACACACCTCTTCTCGTTCCTGATTGCCTTTGGCAAGATGTGAGTATGAATTTTGTGCAAGGACTTCCACGTATCCCGAAGAAGCATGATTCTATTTTGTGGTAGTCGATCATTTCTCAAAAATGGCTAATTTTATGTCTTGTAGAAAAACCTTATATGCGTCCAAGGTTTCTATGTTGTACTTTAACGAAATTGTTAAATTGTATGGTCTTCTTAAAACCATTGTGTCAAATAGGGACGTTCGGTTCACTAGTCACTTTTGGAGAACGTTATGGCAAAATGTTGGTGCAAAATTGAAACTTTCTACTGCCTATCATCCGCAGATTGACGGTCAAACAGAAGTGGTTAACTGTAGTTTTGATAATTTATTAAGATGTCTGGTTCAAGAAAATCTTAGAAATTGGGATTTGATTCTTTCTATAGCTCCATGAATCGATCGTTAGGTATGATTCCATATAAAGTTGTTCATGATTTTAAGCCTAGGAAGCTTTTAGATCTCATTCCGATATCCCCACATGTTAGAGTGCTTATGTCAACTGAAACATTTGCACAATATCTTCATGAATCATGACTTACATATTGAGATTAATAAACAACTTGAAAGTAGTAATGTATTATATAAACTTAAAGCTGATTTGCATAAAAGACATGTTGAGTTTAATATTCGGAATTATGTTATGATCCAAATTAGATCGGAGCGGCGTCTACCTGGATCCGCTTCCAAAATGTAAGCTTGTAGTGTTGATCCTTTTAAAATTTTAAGCAATTTGGCCCAAATGCATATGTTTTTTATATTCCATCACATCTTGGTTACCACTATACTTTCAATGTTGAGGATTTAGTTGCTTATAAAGGTCTTTCAATCCCTCCGATTATCTTCTCCTACCTCCATTTGTGGACCACGAGTCTCTTGCCACCTCTAACCCAATACCACATTTCCCTGCACACAAAGATAAAATTGATGCTATTTTAGATGAACAGATTGTATTGATCAATGATGGAGAGGTTCAACGCTTCTTTATTCGTTGGGTTGATCGACATGAGTCTGACTGTACATGGATTACTAAAGAGACCCTCCGGCAGCTTGACCCAAATTTATTAGAGCTCTATCTGAGTCAGCAAGATCTTACTTTGCCCAGATCTCCATCCACCCATTCGGGGGAATTGGTGGGGACACCACATTCAGACCTCCACTGACACGCTTTTATGGGAGTCGAAAGAAGCTTGTTTAACCTCTTAGTTTATGGTTGGACGATTAATTGCAACCTCTTATGTTTATCTACTCGACAAGGTTAAGTTTTTTCTCCCACCCCAGAAGAGTTAATGCAGACATCTATCGAGAATTATTTTTCTATTGTGGATTGTTTTATTATTTATGTTTTCTATTATTAGGTTGGCCCAAGCCCTTCACTAGTAGGATTGTGCTTTATTATTTATATGATTTTCACATTGTAATTGAGACAGTTGATAAATGAAATAAATAATTTGTGGTTTTTGCCAAAGTTTCCTCCCTTTTCCCTGTACTTCTTCGTCTCCTTCTTTTGTTGTTTTCTTCTACATTTATTCCTACGTCTAATTACCTTTTCTCTATAGATTTGTTCCTCGTTCTCCATTAATTGTTTTAATTGGTCCTACATCAACTAACCAACAGGTTCAGAAGGTATACGTAAACTCCAGTGAGGTTATCCGTGTTTACCAAACCCATGCCCGAAGTCACCAGTCCAGTTATTTTTAAGCAGTCAAAGTGTTTGGTCTGGGTAGGGTTGGATAATTGAAATCTGTTTATTATTTCCTTTTCCCTTGTGAAATAGTTTTATTGTCAATTGCTTCAAAGAAATAAACATTTGAGCCATAGTGAGCAGCTATCCAATTAAAAAGTCAAATTTATTGTAAGCTATAAACTTTGTTAAAATAATCATGAGATACATGTACAAAATTGTGAAGTTTCCACATTAAAGACACAAGGATTGACCCTAATTTTCGATTCAACTCGCACACTGCTCAATGTAAACACTTCCCTATTTAGAATAAACAACATCAAACTAAGACTTATTTATATTAAAGTCGGGGTCAGCTTCACAAATCCTTCTTCACCATTCATTGCTAGATTAAAGCAACAAGATCTTAAAAACTGCAACACGCCATATTAATTTTGGTCTACACTCATCTCTTTTAACATGCTCTAATGAAATCACCTGTCACTCTTATGAATGGGGGCAAAACACGTCTTAACCCCTTAATTATCCTTCCCTTAACTTATCCTCAATCGGCGACCCCTTAATTATCCTTCCCTTAACTTATCCTCAATCGGCGCCAATTCACTTTATTGGTGCATCTTATCATTTCTTGTCTTTTCTATTTTTGTATGACTGCACGTCCATCTTAATATCTTCATTTTTGCTAAATTCATCAACCACCCCCATGGGGATGGTCTACGTGGCCCACCATGGCGGAGTACGTGATGCAATCTACTCCATGATTCAATCGTGGCAACCTACCTTTCTACAAAGATCCTAATCCTAAGAAAGAAAGAATATTGGCTTGGTTGAGGCTCCGGAAGGATGTGCTCGCTATTCTTCAAGAAACCAATCCTCTCTCGTTTGTCGATACCAACAAGGCCTTGGTTAAACATGAGCAAATGAAGGTCCACCATTTGTTGCAATACTGATACTTGGCAGCTAAAGGGCAACTCAGGATAAGGTTGCTCATCACACCATCGCTCCCTTTAAAGCCCCCTGAGTGCTTGTGCTCTCTGTGTTTCTAACTGCTGTGTAGCAGGGACATGACTCCGCAGCCTCACGGGCATGCTTTTCCTATTAAGAAGCAATATCCGTGAAGTTCAATCATATAGTAAGTATCCGGAGACTGAAAACCTCACTTCACAACTAAAAAAAACTACGGACATGTTGGCCCAAAACTCGAAACAATATAGCATAGCTGTCTAATCACTGATCTGTAAAACTTGCCTTTTAGCCTTAATAGAATTTTTTTATCACGTAGAAATCCTATAGCATTTCTCCATTGCATCCAGCCAGCTCTAACCCTAAGCATTACGTCTTTTTCAATTCCTACTTCCTAGTCAACAGTCCAAGCTAGATGCCTTAAGCAACCACTTTATGAAACAATATGGTCTTCTATGGTAACTGCACTCTCATGCAACCCTTCCTCATCTACCTTGCATTAAAAACAAATGCAAACACCCCCAAAAAGAAAAATAAAATACACTAGCATCAAAATTAGAGGATAAAGAATAAATTAGCATGGTGAAGTAAGCCAATAATTACCAGAAGGTACCACACCGATTAATGAGATGTTAACTTAAAATCCAAATGGCTTTACATTTGAAGAACGTAACAATTACAGAAATTACATCTTGAATTTGAGATATTTTTGCAATTCAAGCTCAACAACAGGAAGTGGTATCTTCCAAACACGATAGAATGACATGAAAAGAAAAACAAGAGAAATCACCTGAATTATACCCTTCACGCGCCAAACCTTGTGCTTTAGAACAACAATCTGTGGATCATCGGGATGCAATGAATGCAATTCCTGCCGAACAGATTCCTGATTCGCATTGTGTTCAGCTGATAGTTGCATGGCTTTGACCTCTTTCTCAGGTTTTTCTAGTCTTCCTAAGACCACCCTAGAGTCTCCAGCATTGGCAATGTATAATAGCCCACAGCATACAATGCCCACCAAACAACATGATCCAACAGATGCAATTTGTGGTTTAATATCCCATTGCTTTTTAACCAAGGAAAGAAATTCTTCCTCTGTAGCCAAATATGCCCTTTTTATGACATCAGCCGACATTTCTTGACACTCTGATGTGAGTTCTGCATTGCAAATCACTGTCAAGTAAGTATATGAAGCTTTAGAAGCATAAAAGGACTTGCGATAACATACCACAGAAAAAGTTTCTAATCTTACAGCTGAAAAATATATTTAAGTGAGGTTCTAACAAATTACTTTTCTCAGCTGTCGAGCAAAGCTACAATGCAAGAAGTTCTTAAAAATATTTCTTAGATGGTTCATCAATTGTAATGATTAGACTAACTAAATATTTGTGTACTTCCAAAAGTTAAGTATGATGGGAAAATAAGAAAAGATATTTTATTTTCTATAATTTGTATGGAAAATTATGCAGCTTCCCCTAATGGACAGGTATATTTACTATAACTCAGAGTCTGATATTTTATTCCAACTTGTCCAAAACAGTATAAAAGATGCAAATTATCCTTTACAAAAGATATGTTCCAAATCCATATTACGAAGGAACCTTCAAAAGTTCTTACAATTACCAAAAAGCAATCTTTTCGTTAAAAATTTCTCTAAATATTCTTTCTTCTTTTTCGCCAAAGTTTGACCATGTATTATCACTTCTATAAATGTTCTGTTCTACCTCATTTCCACAAAAAAAAAAATGAACTGCTAATTGGAATAACATGTGGAATAGGATGCAGGTGGCCTAAAGTAGGAGATAAGCAGAAGCAAGATTATGTAATGCTATTCAATAGAAATGACCATGGCAGCCCTACATTTGAAATGGAAATTGGGAGTTAATTAAATTCTATTCTGGACAAGAGAATATCATCTTCAGTGCAAACCATACACAAAGCCAAAATGCCAAAAGAACCATACAATTATCATTGTCGAAATCTGTAAATGTGCATATACGATTTGAAACTAATACGAGAAATAAATCATCCAGCAAGGAGAAGATGCATACTCTTGATATTTTGGAAAAGTCGATTCCTGATAAATACGGATGCTTCAGGACCTGCATGCCCATCATAAATTCCCACAAATGTCCCGTGAGGACCAGACTCGATGGAGCTCATTGGCCCTGACTCCAGCTGGCTCTGATCTTCCAATATATTATTGGCTTGAACTACGGCCATAGAAAATTCCCCATTGACATGATGTCCCAGATCTTTGTACCACAACAACCCCTCCACCCGTCCACTCAGGTCACCCCCTCTATTTCTTCTATTATCTCCGTCATCCTCAACGTAAGGCTTCCAACAAGGAGAGACAATCTTTTTCAATGTAGTTGTCACCATTGCATTTACATATTATCTAGCAATCAAAATGTCCAATCGTCGTTAATGTGTTTTTCTCATTTATAACAGCAGTTTCAATCCTATTTTGTCCTCAATTTCAAAACCCACATCACAATTTCCAAACTTTATGCAGTCATCAAAAGATTCGGACATCACCAATCTGTATCATGCACCAAAAAAACAAAAAAAAAAAAAAANNAAAAAAAAAAAAAAAAGAAGAAGAAGAAGAAGACAATCAATAGTTCCGCAAGAGAAAAAAAAACTGCATTAACCTAACATAATATGCACAAAACAACAAAACAAAATTAATGGGTTTTCAAGAAATACATTGTATATAAACAGAACTGCATCAGAAACAAATAAATCAAGTACCTTAAATCAGCAAATCAGAATACGGCGCAGCAACTCAAAAACCCAATACCATAATTAATCAAAGATGAAAGATATTATGTTTAAAGAAGATTTATTTCCTTATAATATCAAAAAAGGAAGATCAAGAACAAGACACAAGGAGAGGAGAAAAAGGATGGAGTTGATATTGTTTTTGTATTTATTATATAAAAAATAGAAATGCATAAGAATAACAAACTTTCAAGAGGCATTTATCGCCGCGTTTTCTACTTATGTTTTCGAAAATTTTGTTTGATTATGCATACGTAGGAATTGGAGTTTCTGTGTGGTTAGGGGGTTCTGACTTCGACCAGCAACACACCACCCTTTTAGGCAACTTTCCCTCATCTCTCCCTAACCTATAAATAGATTAAATTATTCCATTACCTTGGTTGATTTCGATAAAACATGATTTTTAGTTAATTTTGATAAAAATTATAATTGAAAAATTGATTAAAAAAAAAAGTGCATTTCATAAAATATGCTGAGTTTATTATTATTATTTTTTTAAAGAAATGAAGGCAAACATGGCCATACATTATACACACTTGTTGACTTTATTTTTTAAGTACCCTTTAATCGATAAAGTTTTCTCTACATTAAGCTTGTTAAAGTTGAATAGATATTACATAATATATTATGTCTCTCTCTTAATTTTATTAAATCTGTCGTATTAAATCTTTCATTTACTTATTATTCATTTACTAGTGATTAAATTATTACAAATTAGAATAAAATGTTATTGAAAATGAGAGTTAAAAAAAAAAATTGGTATAGAAAAAGAAATGGTTAATTTCAATTTTGGTCACTGAAACTTTTATGAGAATCTTTATTGGTTCTCTCATCTTTAATTTATTTTAAACAAATCACTTAATTATTTTCAATATTAATCACTTTGTTACCTCCCTTTTGCGAAACTAACATTTGATCCATACATGAACATTAAAATATAACTGATTGCTAACGTTTTATGTAATTTTAGTGTTAGTTATTATGTTATGAAATAAACATCCGATTCGTACTTGCGTTGTCACGACCATTATTATTTTGTTCTTGTACACGTGTTTTTGTGGAAAGTGCCTCCAACTAGTCAAGTTCTACAACTTGAACAAATATATTTGAGTGGTGCTATGTGTACACACACTTTTTTACACAATGTTTTACACCTCTCTCACATGGAGGGAGCCCACGATTATTTTATTATATGTGGGCCCCCCTCCATGTGAGGGAGGTGTAAAACATTGTGTAAAAAATTGTGTACACATAGCTTTATTCAATATATTTCTGCAGGTAAGAAACTTAAATTAACTACATAAGCACTATTACAATAAATTTTGTTATATTTATTAATTACATGGCATGCACATGGAGGGGGTTCAACATTGACTGACTGCACATGTCATTTGAATTGGGTCGGATCAAATTGAACAACATATTCATCTACTTTAGCTCAGGTTGAATGTCCCATTTCCCTCCCTCCCTCCATAAATAGGTGAGTCCATTTACATTTATAGTATGCACACTCTAAACCTTAGTCAAATATCCTCTCACTTTTCTCTCTTGTACTCATTATATTCCATTTGGGTAGTTGACTTGATAGGTAAAGTGCAAATGACCTTCAGACTTTTTTCTGGGATGATAACATTTGCACCCAAATGGTATGTTCCGATGTGTAAGTGACGACTAGGTGGACGGGATATGTTGACCACTCGATTAGACAAATTGTTAGGTCAATAGATTGATGGCTCCTAGAGATGGCAATGGGGAGGGCCCACACCCGCCCCCGCCCCGCCTTCTAGCTCCTAGAGATGGCAATGGGGCAGGGCCACACCCGCCCCCCGCCCCGCCTTAGACGGGGCGCCGGCTGCCCCTTTTCTTCAGTTAAAATACAAATTCAAAATTTTAAAATTTGAAACAAATAATGCTCAGTCTAAGTGCATCAATATCCAAAGTAAGCTTTCGAAACAAAAAACGTTCAAAACAATTTTTTTTAATTCTTCAACGGCGTGGATTCGGGGCGGGACATCGCCTCGTGACCCGAGATAGGACAACGAACCCCGCCCCGCTAACCCATTCGGGTTGGGCCCCGCAGAGGGGTGGGGGGGGGGGGAATTGCCAACCCTAATGACTCCTGTAAAAAATGATACGTTAACCACATTTGAAAGTCCCAAAAGGAAGAAAAAACGCAATAAAGGAAAAAGTAATTTTGCCTAATGGAAGCCATATATTTGGAGCAATATTTCCTATGGAGCATCAAAGTTAAAAGTTTTTTTTTTTTTAAGCAATTTCTTGTACCAGACAAAAAAGCTACTCTTAATATCATGAAAATTAGGGTTTTTTTTTTTTGATTTGCTTCTATTCATATTTACTTTTCTTGAATTTTGTCCTTTCACGTTTGTGGTAGATTAACAATGGGAGTGAACAAGTGGATATCATATCTATTTGTGACTTCTTCACAACAAACTTGCTAATTTAAGGGCAAACTTACTTTGTATCTGATATGATACTACCAAAAATCTACACTTGAGAAATCTCGAGCTTGACGATGGAAGATGAACACGAATAGAATCTTCAATACTTGAAATAAAGGCGTCGTGATGTGTCCTCGTTGTTTCTCCAATACCTAAGTTAGTGAAGGAAATCTATGCAAATGGCTATGAACTGAATTAAGTACAAGCGTACTTGAATAATGAATTGGGGGACCTGTATTTAAAGAGATGGATGATACAATCCTAATAGAATTAAATTACCATCCTTTTGGGAGTCATAAATCGTGTCAAAGTTCCATTAAGGCATGATAATGGAGATCTAATAAGACTTTAGACTTTTATCCAAGTTCGATAAACTTTTATTTATGAAGGTAGAGCCCTAATGGGTCAAGTGTTGTTAGTTTAGAGATAAAGCCAAGGCATATCCCTATGGACACGTTAAACAATCTCATGAACATCGACCTCGAGGAGGTCTGCTGCGAAGCCAAGCAAATCGATCAAAAGTAAGATGGAGAATATTGGTTGTCGGGTTTAGACCAATTTTGACATTAATGGCTCCCCTGCATCCATAGCAGGGGCTTGCTCGCGATGTTCGAGCTTCTGTGATGAGGTACATATGTGGAGCTCGGGTGAAAATGAACATGGATGTGCAAGAAGATCGGACTATTTGGTAGGCTGATCAATTGAAAGAGAAACATGATCAAATTTATTGATAAGCATGCTTAGGCGAAAAAATAGGTGTGCTCATGCCTAAAATAGACATAATAAGGGTTAAAGAAGAGCATGCTTAGGTAGGGAAGGTTATGTTTGTTTTTATGTGGTAGCTTGGATTTGAGCAAGGAGGTGATGGGTTATCAATGTCCTCTTGGTGGATGAGTGGCACATGACATAGGTGGAGGTTCGGGATTTGGTAACCTTATGAATTCTTCAAGTGCCCACAAATACCCCTCAATAATTTAAGTTTTAATTCCATAGAGATGTCTAGTGAGAGTTCATCGGGATTGGGTTCTACACCCGAGGACATGGACATTCCATAGTACCCATTGCCATTCCCTTGGATAGTAGGCCAATCCTTACCTTTCCCGAGCTTCCTTGTAAGTAGGCCATGGAGTTTGGTTTGATGCCCTGATTGAAAGCCCAAGAATAACTAATAAAGAAGGGGTGAATTGACTTTTAAATTTTTTTTGAAGAATTAATCTAAATTCAAGAAAGTAAAAACTAAATAGATAAATTCAAATAATAAGTGCAAATATAAAAGTGAAAAGTAAAAGAAAGAGATGACATAAACAATATAATTGTGGAGGTTGATCCAAAACAATGATCTATGTCATCCGTTACTTGCTATCCGGCACGAGCAAGGCTTTTCACTATATTGATTGACTTATGGTGCAATCCAACCATATACAACCCTTCCGGTGACTAACAAACAAGGAGCGCTGGTCTTTATACAATTACGGGATCTCAATATGACCCACACTATTGAGTTTTACGGGACCTCAATATAACCCACATGGTGACTTACAACAAGGATCTCCAATCCTCATACAATATCGATCCTTACGGGATTTCGACATGACCCACACTTTATCAAAGTGATTTTACAATGAAATTCCTCTCTTGATAAATAATACAAACAAGTTAAGTACTAATAGAGGTTATCACTTCAATGAATAGTAATAATGATAGCTCAAGTGTTAGATGAAAAAACTTAGATGAATAAGTAATTAAAAATTAGATTCAATCAATCAAAGCGTTTAAATAAGAAGATGAAGAAGAAATAAATGCAATGTAGGTTTAAAAATCTTCTCAATATATATCTTTTTTTTAATGAATGATTGTAATAAATTGAGTACTAAGAGATAAATGAGAAACTTTAATAAATATGACAATTTTATAAGTTTTGATTAATTCAATCAAAGTTTTCAACATGAAGAAGTCGAAAAGTTTATGCAATGTAAGTTCATAGATCTTCTTAAAAAATATATTTCCCTTTTAAGATTGATATAAATAAGTTAAACACAACGATAAATGAAAAACTTTGATGCTAAAAATAATTCAAGAAATTTGATTAAACAATTAATGTTTTTGCTATGAAAAATAAATGAAATGAATGGAAAAATG